CACACATATTACTTTGGAGTTATGAGTTTGAGACTACGCTTTTCATAAATGCCGCCGTCGCGACTTCCTCGTATGCATAACTTGACAGCACTTTGTACTTACGACAACTACATGTGTTTTTGTTGTCTTGTTTTTATTTGTTTGGCCTGCCATAATTATGACTGCGCTGTAATATTTTCAGCTTTTTGCTGCGGCCATTCAAAAGTGCCAACTGCCAACCGAGGCAAAGTAATTCAGTGGCGGTATTTATGTGTGTACCCATACAAATAAAGATGCTGCAACGAATTATGGCACTTAACACTTTAGGCTTAGTGTTGCATGCTGTAATATGTTGCAATTGGTGGCACATAACGCTGGGCTGCAACGTTTCTCGCACATTAGCATGTAAATGATAATAGTAATAATAGATTGAGGTTAAAGGCATCTAATGTATAACTGTAATTACCATAACTGTTTAAGAAATGCCTGTAAATCTAGCGCGACGGTTTTTCGACGCAGCAACCGATTTTTAATGGTTCACATTAAAAGTTCAATTTAAAAAAAGAAGACAAAACATATGTACACCCTTCACAAATGAAAAAGTCTTCTATACAATAACTAATGTTGATCAATCTGTTTGTATGCCAGCATGCGTTATATCGGCGTCTGTCAGTAACATATGAGAGAGAAAAAAAGTTTCAGGTGGATACGGAAGAGATTAGTTCGAGTTAATACAGACAGATATACATGGCTAAATCGACTCACTTCCTCATGCTGATTATATACTTATATTCATATATATATGTTATATATTGTATCCGACGTCTCTTTCTGAGTGTTACAAAGTTTCTGGCAAAGTTCGTATACCCTGCATTAATTGAAAAGTGTAGTATCATGAAGACAAGCGGGGACGTCAGCTCCAAAGCATGGGCTAAAGGGATTTTATATTTATTATTCATCTTAGATGAAGTTCTGTAGCACATCAACTATTTGAGTGAAGGGTTTCATGAGTTTCCTCCGTTAAAAATCAGATATTTTTCAACAATTTTTTTCTCATATAAAAAATAATATATTTTATTAGAATTTTTATTGTTACTTACATTAAGAACAAAGCAATTCTGAAATTTTTGAAAAATATTTTAAACTCGGCCATTGCTATGGCATTTACGGTAACCCTTCGGAAAAAGATACGCAGGATAACTTACAGGATTATCTAAAGTGAAAAAATATGTGTTTCAGTTGGACAAAGGAAAAATAACTGAAAATTGGATTTTTGGGAGACATTTTTACAAAAGAAATAAAAATTTCAGTGAAAATTTCGCGTCTTTTTTCATTCAAATAGTTGGAATCAAAACAAGATCCTTCGTCCAAGTCCTTAATAAATGTATCTCAAAGACCTGTGTAAAATTTCAAGAAGATCGGTTAAGTAATTCTCGAGAAATCCTGCCCATCTACTTAAAAAACACAGTTTCGAAAATAAACGCGTTTAAAGGAGCTCACATGTTCTCAAAACTGTATCTCTGTAGCTATAACTCGAATCAATTTGAAAATTGAGAACAATATTTTAGAGATGATATAGAATTTAATATAACGGTAAAAGACAATATTCGGATGGGCACATATAATATATTTATACCAACAACAAACTACATATGCACAACAAGGGCTTCCTCAAAAATAAGCATATTTTGTCACTATTTTTTTATCTTTTCAATATTTATCATACCATTATTTTTGAAACCTGTGATGAAAATAGAAAGATATAGAAAATATTGGAAAGGCGGTATCAATTTGGAACATAATAATAGAGAATTGCTAGAAAAGGCTCTTTAGTTTTATTTTTACTAATATGTGAGTGGTTGAAAATTAGCTATGAGGTCCCAGGGCTATGGATTGGAGTGATCCTCAAGAGTCACAAACTTGCTTTGGAGCAGGTTGATTCTCAAGTGTTGGAAGTGCGTTTCTTGAGCTTGGTCAAGCACGTCATCCCTCATACTTGCCTTAAGACTGTTTTATTTGGCTGAAGTCATCTGAAGATAAAGTATATCAGCGAGACTTGGCATCCATCCCTTCAGTCAATTGGGATCTATTTGGTAGCGAAATCAGTCAATCGAAATTATTATAACTGTGGCCGTAAAACAGTTTACTGAGGAACACCATGGTGAAAGGTAAACCGCTTTTAATATTTTTTGAAATAGTTAGAAGGACTCCACGATTCCGGAAAATTATATTCAAAGTGTGTTTTAGAGTAAACAGGAGTTAAGAAAAACTACAAAATTGGTTTTTTCGGCAAAACCAATTTTTTTTATTCACAGTATTCTCCTTCAGCTTCAATACAGCTTGGTGTATTGAATTGTCCAAAATGCATGGTCCAAAAGCATGTCGAACTGGTGTTTTAGCTCGTTGGCCGGTATGCCGGTGCAAGCCTTTTAAATGGCCTCTCTACTTCTGTATAACGCTTTCCTTTCATGGGCAAATGCATTTTCCAAAAAGGAAGAAGTCGCACGGTGCCATATCAAGTTAATACGGGGAGTGCTTAATGGTTAAAATGCCATTTTTGATCAAATAATCGGTTACAATTGTCCTTCGAATGTTGGATTCTGAGCAAATTTTGATCGTCAGTCAATTTGTGCGGAACAAATCGTGCACACACCTTTCGTAAGCCCATATGTTCGGTCAAAATGCGATAAATCGATGTTTTGGAGATGTTCAATTCCATTTCCATAAATTTCAATGATGATTTCGGCTGATTTTTGACTCACACACAGTTTCTATAGAATTTCCGGTTATCACGAATGTTGATCGTGAAATGAAACGTTTCAGTAAAAGTTTTACCAATTTTAAAACAACATTACTCTTTGTTCGAAGCTCATTTTCACAAAAGGCACAAGAGTATTTTAGTTTCTTAGGTAAATATTTATTAATTTAATAAGAAGTATGTCCTTCGTTATTGTTTAGAACTTCCTCCAAACGCTTTGACATTGAGCTAATGAGAGAATGAATGTACGATGGCTCAATGTTCCTCCATTTTTGTTGAATTTAGTTTGAGCTCTTTAATGTTCTTAAACTGACGTCCATGGCTGAAAACCTTACTCGCTGGCAGTGACCAGAGATTCTCAATTAGGTTTAGGTCAGGACTAATCGCAGGCCAATCGAGAGTTGGAATTCCGCGGGATAACAGGAATTCTTTTGTCTTCCTTGAACGATGGATTGCTGCGTTGTCCTGCTGAAAAATATATTCTGGAACAGATACATCTTTTCCAAACGATATTAAGACATCATCTAGAAGCTGGATATAATAATCGGAGTCCATCTTGGTGCTAATGAAGCAGATAGGTGTGGTTCCTCGGTAACTTACCATTAGGGAACCACCTCCAAAGTTTCGGCGTTGACGTTTTTGCTTGGGCGTGCCTTTCTTGCGCCAATACTTATCTGCACCATCCGGCCCATCCAAATTAAATTTCTTCTCATCCGAAAATATTACAGTTTTCCATTCTTTATCCCAACAAATATATTTTTCAGCAAACCGTAATCTAGCCAATTTATGCCGAGGTAGCAGTGCTGGTTTGGAACATTTTTTTTCGTAGGAGAGAGTTAAATCTTTTTTTTTTAATTTGTTGTACGCGTCGCACACCTACTCCTAAGCCCATTTCTCCAACTATCTCTTTTACGCTTAAGTTTTCTTTCACTGCAAGCCTGGAAATCTCCCTTTTCGTCCCGTGGTCGCTTTTTTCCCATATAGATGGCCCATTTTTATGAAGTTGTGGATGACACAACTAGATCTGTTTAACCGCCTCGCAATATCGCGATTCGACCGTCCCTCTTCAGGATACGCTTCAATTTTTCCCCTTTCCTCAAGAGTTAATGGTTTGCCAAGTGGCATTCTGAAATGTTTACATATTAAATATAAAATACTTGTGTTATTTATTAAAAATAGACTAAAATAAGAGATACCTACTTGTATTTCCTTGTACTGTCAGTATAATTTTTATAAAATATTAATTTTCACAATGCCTTTATACTTATTTCGCACTTCCTAACGGTTCTAGTCGCGTTTTATTTTTCATACACACACAAGGATGAGCAAAACTTATCGATATTGCCTAAAGTTGCCACAGAATTCAATTACGCATTTGCAAAAAAAAAAAAAAAACAAAGTTATTTTGTGGGTTGCAAATCAAGAGAGTAATGATAAGAAAAACATCTGCCTTTATACTTATTTCGCACTTTATTTATTAATATGACGAGAAGTATGGTGAAATTTTTTTAAATATCCTTTTAAATATCCTGGACCTCAGGAACGCTGGTACTTTGTTTTTTCTGGATTGATCGGACTGCCTATAAAAATTGCCAAGCAGCTGTTTGTCAAAAGGCGTGTTTTTGTAAGCAACTAAAAGAAAGTTTTTCGATTTTTACATTTAATTTTAACGTTGAGCAAAAAATGTTGTTTGAGGAAAGAATCAAAAAATTTGATGCTTGAAAATCGTCGATTGACAATTAGAGAGAGATTGGAAAAAGCGTTTGAATAAAGTGCGTTTTATTAGGTGGAGATTATTTTGAAAGGCACGCAATTGATCTGCAAGAATTAATTAAGAAGTTAGATTATAAACAAATTCAGCTCCCTTTTTGATCACTATAGTATGTACATATCTCAGAACAGGTTATTATATTTGAGTGACAGTGGCTCTTGGAAAAAACGTACTGAAACAGTTTTTATAGATAATTTTGTTATCTAAAATATATGTTTTGTTTTTGTTACAACTTACCGTTTTGTTGACCTTAGCCGTGAATTTTTTCCATACTTCGGAACGTTGAGGAGATTTGATATGTTAGGTCATAATTTGTACATATTCACTAACCTTTCTTGCTGTAAATGTATGTAACCTTGAATGTTTATTTTGATCGCATTTTTAATTCATAATACTGTAATTTTATTTTGTCATAATAACATATGTATATACATATATACTATATATCCTATAACTTATCAGTAAAAAATATCTTACAATAAATTTCGCATTCTTAAACTAAAACAAAAACAGAAAAATATAAAAAAACAGAACTACAAACAGAAAATAAGTAAATATAGTAATGGAAATGCACTGGACGTTTGCCCAGTTGCCACACAATATTCCATAAAAACATGTTCAAAGCTAAAGTAGCTCCACTCTGTGGGCGCTATGGTTATCTGATCGAGTTACACTCGTATGTCATAATATAGAAAAATTACTGCTAGCTCTCAAATTCAGTTGAATTGGTTGTTACATAAGCAGTTAACAGCAATTTAACGAAATTCGAAAATTACAGTTGAACTGAATTGTAATGGAAATAACTGTTTATTCATTGCTAGGTTAGACTTTCAAGTTCGCAAAATTCAATTGATTATTAATAAGAGTGAATATGAAGGTATATAAGAAGACGAATAGAAACTTATTAACGAACTATTGTTGTTAATATCAACATTTACGGAGTTTAGGACATTAATCTCTGAACTATGGCCAATCAAATAGCACAGAGTAATATGTAAAAATAGGTCAAAATTGAATACTGCGCTTGAATAATGTAGCACAGCAAACGTCTAAATTCTGTTAATAATTCACTAAAACATTTGTATAAACTTTTGTGACTCTTGTTCGGGTAAAACCATGGTTTACACTAAACAGAGTAATTTAATATAGAGCAAGGGAACTGCTGTATTAAAGGGATTCATCATGAAAAAAATTTATAGTAAGTTGGTTGATTGGAATATTAATTCTAATTAAAATGTTCGTATTTCTCAAAATTTCTTCCACGTCGATTTAGCATCATTAAATTAGTCGAACAGCCTCATAAGATCATTACTATAGTTCCGTTTATATTCTATGTTAAATGAACTTTCCATATACCGTTCTTTGCATTTAACAGCACTTCAAATGTAACAGTTTTCTAAAGCGCAACTGCGCCTCACCCAACGTCGTCTTGCGCGTCTCCGGCATGGTCACAGCAAAGACCACAAACAGGATCAACATCAATATGCCCACAAAGAGCGCATACACATACATCGAGTAGGTGTTGAAGTGGAAAGTGCAAATGACAATAATATGGATCACTTGCTGCAACGTCAGACAAGCAGCTATGAAGTACGGCTTAAGTGACATCGGAAACGCTTCGCTCAAATACACTGACGAACTCGGCGCATACAGACCCGCAAAGAATTGAAAAAGTTGCGAAAGCACACATATGAAAGACATGTGGTATTCGCTCACCACGCTCAACTCATCCACATACTCGCAACCAATAGCGATCGACAGCACCGCGGTGAGCAGCAGCGCCACCAACGACACCAACTTTCGGCCGGTCACATCGAACATATACAGCGATGAGAAGGTGCCGCCAACGCGTAGTATGACAAACACTATGGGCTGCCATTCATAATCACGCAACACCATCAAATTGGCCACCTTCATCGCCTCGTTCATGGGCAGCGAGAAGCCGAATGCGACCATGCTGCGATACAGCATCAAACGCAGCAACGGACTATGCACCAGCGTATCGCGCCACTCCACCGTCTCCGTCTCCACCACATAGGTCTTCAGCTGATGCAACAGTACTTGCAGCATCTGCGGTGCGGCATACTCGGGCCGTTGCAGCTGTCGCAAGCAATTGAGCGCGCGCGCATCATCACATTGTCGTATGAAGAAGATCGGCGACTCGACGATGAAATGCGCCAAGCAAATGGCGAGCACGCCGAAAATTATGGCAAATATGCCGTGCAAGCGATCGGCGGCGAAGTACACGGGCGACGTCCATTGTGATGTGTAGACGACTTGTATGACTATGCCAATTGTCATGCTGTTCTGCTCCAGCCACAAGCAGAAGCCGCGATTCTCGGTGGCCGCTATTTCGCTGGCGTGCACCAGAAATGCCAGCGTCGTGCTGCCGATTGCGATGCCGTTAATGTAGCGCGCTGCCAGTACGGCGTTGTAGTTGTACGGTACGCTGGTGAAGATGATACCGCCAATGATGACCAGAAAGGCGCCAAGCAACTGCAAAATGCCAACTGATCGCTGATGAGCAACAAATCGTTACATATCACTACTTCATGCTAAACTTACCACAAAGAGGCGCTTCGGCACGCTTTTTATTAGCGGCGCTGCCAGCAGTGCGCCAATTATAAAGCCCACGAACCAGGAGTAACGTAACTGCATGGTGGTCTGTATGTGGGTGTGCAGATTCCAGCCGAGTCCAAAGGCCATACTCATGCCGCCGGGAATGAAAATTAGTGCACCTGGAACAAAAAAAAATCTAAATTAAGTTGTTAAACATTTCATATCGAATTATAAATGAAATTAATTCATATCGAATTACAAAAAAAATTAAAAATTTCCGAAAGTGCTGATAGCCGGATATAAGTGAGACATAATGCCTTAATGACATGCCGAATGTGCAAGAGTAAGAAAGGAAAACACACTTGCTATTTACTGACAATGGGCTTTTATAACTAGAGACTTCGTAGTTCAAGGTACTTGAAGAAGTTTTTGTTAAATTTTGCATCACGTTCAAAAAGGAATGAGAAAAATAAAATTAGCTGATGCTGGCATCGTGTATTTTTTTTTTTTTTTTTGTTTTTGTTTGTCGACTGCATTTCCCTAATTACGCATTAAATTACATTTACTTTTTAACTAAATAAAATTTTTATAGAAAGCAAAAATTGCTTATAAAACGTATCAGTCTTCTGCGCTGTGAAGCCATGATAATCTGATTTTCTTCGCTCGAAACTTCAATATCTCTATTTTCATTCTCGTTAGCTGCCCCGAGTATGGGTTTGAAATTCGCGAAATCTCGGAAAGATCATATCCGAGTTCTCCCTTCCACATGAGGGGATCTCGATCTCAAAAGACAACGCTGGTGTATAGTGATTTTGTTGCCCAAGATTTAAAATGAATTTTGAATATATTTGTGCTCGCAATTTATGACATTTTTAATATATTAATTTAAAATCTTTAGTTCATTTTACTTTACAAAATTCATAAAAGCATGGAACATGAACAAAATAACATATACAATTTTTAATATCAGTAATTTTCAAGTTATTGTTAAATTTTTTTTAAGGATCAGCAGTATCCTTCATCTTCGATCTTCAATTGTAGTAGAACAGTTCTATCTCTTTCTCATCGTAATTAACCAAATTAATCGAAAATGCATCTAAATGATTGCGAATATAATTTCGGTTGATACTCATATTTGCTCTTAGAATCGCAAAGTTTGTCAACATATTTTGGACCATTTCTTCATATTGGGTAGTCGAAAAAGTCGTTTCGTATTTTTACTTCAACTTTCAACTTATTTTTTTATGTTTATAATGAACTTTAATGGACCAAATATGTACCATTTTGGTCGACCACTTTTTTCCTTTTTCGGCTAGAGACATTATTTCATCAGTGAAAAACTTTTTTGGTTTCTCAGGGAGGACAAGTAATTTTCACAGGCTTCTCTTGAAGCCAACTTCACTCCATTAAGGGAGTTCTACATTTACCGAAACAAATAATGGTCCGATGGTGCTACGTTAGGGTAATATGGTGGATGCATCAGAACTTCCCAGACAAGCTCTCCCAGTTTTTTTCAAGCCATCAAAAATGTGTGTGGTATAGCGTTGTCGTGATGGAAGAGGAAGCCCTTTCTGTTGATCAGTTCTGGCCGTTTTTTTTTTTTCAATTGCTTGCTTCAATCCTGTCTCTTATACACATCTAGATGTGTATAAGAGACAGGCTTACTTCAATCTCATCAGTTGCTGAAAGTTAAATTTAGAATCTATTGTTCGACCAGGCTGGAGCAGCTCATAGTGGATGATTCCTTTCCAATCCAGCAGCATAACCTTTCGAGGCGTGAATCCCGGCTTTGTGACCATTTTGTTGAGTTGCCTTACGCTTGGACCATGATCTTTTTCAAACATTATTGTCCACTTTTCGCCTCCTGTTACTATTCGCTTCAAAAATGGTTCGATTTCACTTCGTGTCATCAAAGGATCGCAGATGTTAAGTCAGTTAATTAAATTTCTGACAGTCAATTCATGTGATAATGAACGTTATGTTCCTTAGCGATGTCATGGCTGCTTATGTGTTGGTTCTATGTGATGGTCCTTCCATAATTTCATCGATTTTTCAACAATAGGTCGACCAGAGCGAGTTGCATTTTTCATATCGAAAATTTCTTTTTTATACAAATATAGCGAATTTCTTCATTATTTTCACTAATTTTTCAACAGCTGTAACTTTTTTTACACTTCCCCGAATTTAATTGTTTTTGAGTTAAATGTAGCTTAAAATCTCACCTTTCCAACACTATATGGTATGACACAATTTGATTGGTAACACTGGAGTTATACGACTGCAACTACATTTATTCACAAAATACAAAAATTCGCCTACCCTATTTTGGTTACCTAGGAAAATTTCGACTATCAACACTAAACCTTTTAGCTACATTTTTCGGTACTTAACCGAAATTTTCGGGTCCACTTGCCCGTGTTTGACCCAGACGTAATTAATATAACGATTAGTGAAACTGAATAGTGCCTTTGAAGTGTAACACTTAAGATCAAAAATTTTCAAAATCAGATCAAAATTATTCAAGCCGTCAGATACCGAGCATATGAACCCTGGTCCCTAATGCGAACTATCCAAACTCCAAACCTTTTTATAAAATTGCTCGTTTTCCACATCAACTCAATATAATTGAATTCAGGCTCTCGATTGAGATTATGTAAGATATCGTTTATTTGAGGAAGTTTTTAATATTTTTATCGCTGACAGTAGATAAAATATAGTTATAAAACTAATTTATTCAACAACCTATTAGGTCCACACCTTTGCTTCCGCCATTTTCCAATAGATATCTCTAGAGTCAAGCACTGGTCGATTAAATCATTTTATATCGATCTTGGACATTTGTGTCAACATTAACCCAACAAAATATTTATAGAGATCTGTTTGCATTCCAAACTTATTCTTCGCTTTTTGGGCCGAATTCTCGACCCGTCTACACTTTACTGAGACTACATATACATAGATAATACTATTACTCTACTACTAACATCTATATGATTTTTATTAGGTATTAAAAAAGCATAGAATTTTTGTAAAGCAACTTGTGTTAGTTTACAAAAAAATGGATCATAAAGCATTTCGTGTGTGAATTTAGCATTGCTTTTTGAGGGAATGAGGGAAAACACGTTTTCACCGTTTTTATACAATAAAGCCTTAAATATAATATTAGTAAATATGATACAAATTTAATTGTAATCAATAAAAGACTTCTTCGAATAATGAATGTTGAATTCTTTCGCAAAATTTTTAAAATTAATTTGTGCAAACACCCCCGAACCTGGCAAATTGCACGAGTATGAAATGTTCGGGTACATATAAACTTAGACCTTCCTTACTTGTTTATTGCACTATTATATACCAAGTAACTATTTTTTTTAATTATTTCAGCCGATCCACTCCGTGGGCAGTCATGTGGCGGATTTATCGAAATTTAAGTGTGATGAGGTTGTCGTACTTAATCGTTCAGTGTGAATAGGTTCTAATAATTAAAAAATCAATTACCTATAGCCTGCAATTTAAATTAAGTGTTAAACTGTTTCTTGCCAAAACAAAAGCAAGAGTTTAATTTACAGCCCCCGAATCACCATATAAAATACGGATCGTAAACTTGCATAAATATCGATTCATTATGAATGACGATTATAATGCCAAACACACCTTCCGGGGGTTTACACCTGGCAAACACTAAAGGCAAAGAATTATTAAGAGCAATTCTAGAAACTGGTTGGGATCAAGTTTTCTCTGGCAAACTAAACTACTAGCCTTTTCGAGCAGCAAATATTTCCGACGTTATAGATTTATTTATTACAAAACCAATTTCTTTTTAAAAATATTTGATCTTAGCTCAGGTCATTACCCCGTTTTGTCACCAACATTCGTCTGTAGCAAGTCAACAGATTGAGATTATTTTAAAAAAATTACAGTACATATAATAATGTTTAGTCCGACGAGCTGAATAGATTTAGCCACGTACGTCTGTTTGTAAATACGCGAACTAGTCACTTAGTTATTGCAATATTCTCCTGAAGAAACGCCGATATCGGTCCACTATAACATATAGCTGTCATACAAACTGACCTATCAAAGTTAGGTTTTTATAAGGAAAGCTTAACTTAGCTAACATTTTTTCTTGTCGTTAATTTTTTAAAAATATTTTTTTTTATTTAATGAAAAAATTAAGGGTTTTATATGCATAAGAATCAGTTCCATTGTTACACTATCAAAAATCGGCAGTCAGTTTAATTTAATATTAACACCATGTAAGTACAATGCGTACAATGCGTACTATATGTAAGTATGTACTTAATGCAGCATGATATATCACCACAAAACCGAATCACTGGCTTTCGTTATCACCGAAAATTGATTGATAATATTTGTACACAGATTTATTAAGTAATATCGCAAAACTTTACTCATTCTTTGATTCACACAACATATGTATTTATTGCAATCGCTGTCATTACACTCATGAGTTTACACACAATTTTCATCACATGTCCATACATATTTATATATATCGGCAATCCAAATTCAAGCACTTTACACGGCAACGATAGCACATACATACATACATCCGAGTCTAATTTTGCATTACCTGACAATAAAGACATCCACTGTTTCACTGTTGGATGGTATACAATTTTATTTTTCCTTTGCGGAAAGGGATCTTCAGTGGTCTGTGTAACGGGTGAACTATTTCGACAAATCATTTCGAGCTCCGTATCCTTGGCCATCAATTCAAAAGTAATCTTTTTTTTATAAACCGTTTCAAAATGTTAAAAATTGTCCACTTTGACTCCACAAGCTTCGAATGTTCTAAATGTACTAAAGTCACTAACTGTGTATGCGATTTCCGTTACCGTCAACATACAATGTATAAACATACAGAAATAAACATAAAACAAAGGGCATTAGGTGTTATCAAAGCGGTCGATAAAGTGGGATAAATGTGGCATTAAGTTGGAATGACAAATATCGGTGACGAAGTCGAGTAGAACTATTGTCTTATCGATTTTCGAAAGGTAAACAATCAAAAGCAATGCTTACGCAACGCGTGAATAAAAAAGCGGAATAATTTGGACAACGACATCGAAAAGTGACCAAAACAGACAGCCAAAAATAGCAGAAAAAAAGTGTTAAAAAATGAACAAAATCATCATGTACTATATAAAACAAAAAAAAAGAGAACTTAAATGGAGTAAAACATTGGGTAGATAGTGAGGTCTATCGATGGACGAAAAGTCTTTCATGCTGTACGATTGTAGAAACGAAGTAATATGAGAAATGGCCAGCAGGAGCTTATAACTATTTTTCGAGAGAACTGTTAACTAAAAATAAATTATGTCAAAAATCATTGCCTAAAAAAATATCAAGAATTTCAGAGCTTTACTAAGTATTTTCGGCTCTTTTCACCTTCGAAAAACGCTTATTCTTATAACTTTGAAGTACCCTTCCAACCGCTGATATTCCAATAAGATTTTTTCATATCCGAAATGTACTCATTAGTCCCCATAATTATATCCCTCTAGTACCGTATAATATTCAAGAAACCTATGGGCGGTTCAGAGAAAGCAAATCTTTCACAAAAAAGTAGACATGTTTTTTTTCAGTTATAGAGCAGACCAATTTTTGAAGCATACTTCCCAAAGTATTTTATTTATAGCTTTTAGTGATCTGCCTAATAGGCCGATTCTGTGATTCGCTTAATAGAGCCAAATGACAGCTCTTCATGCCCTAGATGAAGTTCTTTGCGGACGCAGCCTGCCATATTTATGTAGCCTTGCTCTGAATTAATCAAAATATGATCCAAACTAGGACTATTCATTATTCTGAATAAACTGAAGCTTTGTTTGGAATTGTAATAAGCGATAAAATAAATTATTAGCCAAAAAATATGAATGTTAAATATTTCCAAAAGAATTTTTTTTTTCAAATGTTGTCAAATTATTAAATTCAATTAAAATAAACATAGTAATATAGATAGGTAGGTACGAATCCCACTACCATAAGCTTAACTAGCGCAGAATGTGCCATTTATATGTAGGACCTCATTGCCTTGTATTCCGTTTCATCGTTGCGTTCGAACCATTTGGTGCTCTCAATGAGAATAGTGCTTGGTACCTAACCTTGAATGGTTGTCCACAAATAGCTATTATCTGTTATGCTGTTTGTGGACAACAATGCATGGTTTGGTGCCTGATGGTTGGAAAGAATTTGGATAAAACTGGACTTTCGCACAGAAAGTGAAAAACCTCTTCCGTATTTCCATTTTGATTGCAATTGCGGCAACTGCTGTTATAAACAGGCACTGCAACTTGTTGTTGTGTTTCTTTAGCTCTGTGCGTTTTGTTCAAAATTGTATCGTTCCTAGTGGCTTCGTTTCGGACTCGGCCAACTTTGCCAACTCGTTTGCTTTTTCAAACTATGAGCAAGTTTAGTTGACCTGCCAGTGAGCTTAAAGCCTTCCTGCAGTTGTTGACTACTTTAGAATTAATCTGTACGGTCGACAGGATAAGCCGAGCCGACTGGTTGTCCGTATATATGGTTACTTTCTACATCATGTAGCAGTTATTCAATAGAACTTTACCGGCCTTCTCAGTGACTAGTACGTATACTTCAGATTGGAAGATGATGGCTGAGTTGATTTATGGATAGAAATAGAAGTTTCAAGTTAATTGGAGCATACTTCCACCCGTACTTGGGCGTAAATAGAGGTAGCACTCTCCTCTTCTACTATAACTGATCTTTATTCACGTCTAGAAGGAATATTAACCTATAAAGCACCAATAGTCACCACCCTAAATCTTGCGATATAAGATTTGCAGTAATCTGTCATGATACCATGTTTTCTGTGCGACTACCTGTTCTTTCATAATCGCCAACATGTTTCGATTGACTGTTCTCAGGCCACGCTAACTTCAGTATACCTATGATATATCGCGAACTTGTACAAATCAAGGTAGGAGAACAGAATTGGTTATAAATGAGGACGATGAAAGTTGATAGAATTGAAAGAATATATATATTACTAACGTTGTTGCCCTGTGACGTGCGCAGAATCGTTCTGAAAGATGACGTCGTATTACCATATTACTTACTGACCGTTAACCGTTAACTTTACCTTCTCTATATGTGACCTGGTCTACGGAAAGGGGGCTTAGGTGTCAAAAAATCAATTTTCACTTTTTAGTTGATTCGGATGGAAGATGAGATGCTTATTCCCGTGATAGAATATGTATCTGATTCAAATATACTTGCATTCATCCAATATGCGTCTGACACTGATCCACGGACAAATTTTCATATTATTTCGCCCATACATAATAGGTTTTTTTTTAATGACGTCGACGTCCTGCATGAATTCTTGTCGCAGGCACTTTTTAATATGTGACAAGAGTTTAAAGCAATCCAATAGACAAAACCATGAAATGAGCCTGCTTTTTGCGATTACTGTCTTTCGTACCATTCCGGGCAAAAAAAACCAGTCTCTTGCAATTTGAAGACTGTAGACTGGCGAAATCCCACAATGCCCAATGTATGCTGGAGTTTTGATTCTGTTGTGTGGCCTTTTATTGACAACAAAACTTTTTCGTTATTTTCATATAACATCACTTTCACAAATATAACGGATATTTTTATACCCTGAACAGGGTGTATTAAGTTTGTCTCGAAGTTTGTAACACCCCGAAAGAAGCGTCTGAGATCCTATAAAGTATATATATAAATGATCAGTATGTTGAGCTGAATCGATTTAGCCATGTCCCTCTGTCTGTATATATACGAACTTGTCACTCAGTGTTTAAGATATCATATTGAAATTTTGTTAACGTCATTTTCTCTTCAAGAAGCTGCTCATTTGTCGGAACTGCCGATATTGGAACCCTATAACATATAGCTGCCATACAAACCTACCGATCGGAATCAAGGGCTTGTACGGCAAACTTTCGCATTTGAAACTGTTCAGATCGGTTTACTATAGCATCTAGCTTCTATACAAACTGAACACATAGTTCATAAAATAAATGCACCTGTGAAGGGTATATTAGCTTCGGTGCAGCCGAAGTTAACGCTTTTTCTTGTTTGTTGTTCCAATTGTGAAGCAGAGAAGACCATTTTAAAACACGTGCGCGATATATAAGTCAACGTCTACAAGCGCTTTTTATATTTAACCAACTATAACATTGCATCATAATGAACTACAACAATTGAGCAGAAAAGTTAATTGACAACCTTTCACCGCAACACTTCGTTTGGTTGTGCGTGTAATTCAATATTATTAACGCAATTTGAAAATTTTGAATACACAAAATCACAACCATCAAAACTTTCGTAATCGCTCATGCTGTGTGCCCGAAAAAGAGGCTTCACAAATTCACCGGTGAATTGCGCTTGCAACCCCAGCTATTGAACTTTGTAGTGTGATTAATCAGAGTAGTAGTCAAATAGTAGACGTGTGTGAGAAAGCATTCCAAATTCTAAAAATGGAGGTATGTAAATGGCGTTCACTTGGCTTGATGACCGTAAAATGCGGCTTAGAGCGCACATTCAAGCCGACATTCAGTCGCTCATTTAGGTAGCCGGCTAAACGGGTTGGCAGCAAGCGGGCGCATTCGCACTCAATTTATTTAGATTTGCTTGTCAAATGGAAAACTTCATTGTTCTAACTCCTAATTGCATGCGAAAAGTGATTAATGAGCTGCCCGTTAAATTAGTGTAGAAAATAGTAAAATTTATATATATATATTTTTTTTTGGGTGCAAATGGTGTGCTCTTTATAGCACGCTCTTTCGTTGGGCTAATGAATTATTTTGAATTTGATGAAGTTGCAATTCTTTAACTACTAAAGCTTTTGAATGAGTAAAATAAAAAGAAGTTCAAAAAATCTAAAAATATATTTTCTACGAAATGCAGCACTTTTAGCTCACAGCATTTGAGTCAAAATAATTTGGTGTGCCAGTTAGTGGCGTTAATTGATTTTGAGTGTTTAACTCTTGTTAACTATTATTATAAAACGGGGTATTTGTATAACCAGAAGCAATGCGATTAAATCTATGGCGTTTTTTTAGAATGACTTATGTTAGTTATTGTAACTTGAATTTATATCGTCTAGTTTTATTAAAATGAACGTCATATTTGATTTTATAAACTGTCTTCAAATCAAAATAAAATTGAGCTTTTCAAATTATTAAGAAAAAACCAAAAACTATACGCAAATAAGTATGTTCGATGTATTTTGTGACCAAATTACTCGTCGAAGCCAATTGAACTTAAGCTACTAAACTAACTGCACCGAAATATTAAAGCGCTCAGACTGTTACAACTCTTACGGTTTCTACAATTAGTATAGTAGAATATTAAAATAGTTTCGATTGAGCTTAAACCTCAAATGCCAGTGCGTTTAACTATCAAATATACTCCAATTGAAGTTAAGAGGTTATGTACACTACGAAAATTTGAGATTGACCCGGCAAAAAGTTTCGAAGGTACAAGGTTCGTACTTGAAAGAATTTTTTAACTCAGTGTAATTGGTTCCCGAGCTTTAAACACAACATTTTTCTGAAAAAACTGTGTTCAGTGTCGGTAAAGAAAATTACTCTGAACCTTCTTAAAAATTTCACATGACACTCTTTGATACAATAATCAAGCAGGGTTCGAAGTAAACAAATTTTAATTTTTTGTTTTTGTTTCTAAAGAGAAGCATTTTTATGGAAAGCCACCGTTATGTAGACAACCAAAGTTTTGACTTGTCCTTTGATCTTTAACTACGTACGTCTATAATAATAATAATTGTTAAAAAAAAAAAATA